TGGAAGTGAAGATAAGAATAATATTTTTCAATCGCTTTCGCTACCAAATCAAGTGCTTGAGAAGTCCGATCCACTTTCTGTACCGACAAACATCTTTAAGAAAAATGTGGATACACAAGATGTCAAAGAGAACCCTTCTTCGCTAGATATTGCCACTATGAAGCCTGCCATCAATAATGGTTTCAAACCTGATTCGGTGGTCGTGGAAAGTGGCTTTCGACCAATTTTGCGCAAAGACGGCGGCTCGAAACTACCCAACATAGATCAAGTGGCACATCGGCGTGAGGATCCAGGATTAGAGATTGATGAGGTAATGGAAACAGACACACTTTTTCTAACAGCCCAAAAAGATACACAAACTCAAAATTTCGAACCAATGTTTATCCCGTCGCCACTAGATAGCACTAATGTTACTGTAATAATACGAAATGTTGGCTCGTCTTCGTCTAGTCCACAATTAAAGGTGCTTGATGCAAAGATCATAGAAAATATGCCCGCAGTTGCCAAGCTTCGCAACGCGACAATAGAGGAGATTTTGTTAGAACTAAGAGAAGACGAGCGTTTGGATGACAATGTTACAAGTAAACTAGATGAAAATGTTACGAATTTACCCGCAAATGAAATTGCCAAACCGGAGGAAGCTTATTCTAGTGAACAACAGAACAAAAATACATCCGAATTGTACGTGTTGGATAGTCTGTCCGAAATGGAGGCTATCGATGAAGAAGATGACCGCGAAGCTCAGGCGGCAGAACGAATAGATACATACTACCTACCACCAGATAACCGCAAAATACCACATGCCAGCTTACCGAGCGGTGCAGTTGTTACATTTGATGGTAAATCTATTGTAGACGGCAATTTAGTTTTGCCACCCAAATTGGAGGCACTAGAAGAGCCCAGTTCACACCGCCAAGCACACGGTCTCTCCCAAATTGAACAGCTCATACGAAGTACACCCCAAGTTAGACCATTTCGAGGGGAAATACCACAACCCGTGGCTGAGTTTCTCTCGAACGAACGTTCAAGAAATAGAGCCTCCGGCACCGGCTCTGGTGGTATAGTCGGTGGTACAGGGTCTGGAATTGGCGGTCCATACTTGCCTTCGACCTCACTTTCACCGCCTCGAGTGCACTCAACCAAACTGCAAAAATTAGACGAATCGGCTTTTCGGCACTAGCTTTACTACAAAGGTGAATGGAGATATTTACGTACACATGTACACACATAGGTACCATAGAAGCGTCCTTTAATATTACTATTGATAAAATTAAATAAAATTGAAGAAATTTCTTAGCGTAAATAAAATGAGGCAAAATACTCTAAAAGCTAAAAGCTATGTATACACATAATTGTTGTTTTTTTTTCATAAATTCTGCAGTTTACTAAAGCTCGCAATACATTTCCATGCGAGCGTGAGCATGAGCGTTCACAAACCTAGCAAAAAATTATATAAGCAGTTGTAAGAAATAATGAATAAGCTTGCGGCGCTTGGGGAGGTCTTTCCCAATTCTGACGAAGCCGGTGGTATTACTCAACGACATTTTACACAGCCGTATCAGTTTGGCGGGGACGCCAAATTCAGGCATAGCGACGTATAGGCAACTCCTTTTGGTGCTGTCGAAAGCGGTTTTAAAGTCGACAAATAGGTCGATCCTTATATCTCGAGTCTTTTCCAAGATTTGGCGTATTGTGAACACCTGGTCTATGGTGGATTTTCCAGGTCTAAAGCCACACTGATAAGGTCCGATCAGTTCATTGTCGGTGGGCTTCAATCCTTGACACAATACGCTCCATAAGACCTTGTAACCTATGCTTAGTAGGCTAATCCCGCGGTAGTTACCGCGAATTCCGGGGTCGCCTTTCTTGTGGATTGTGCAGAGCACACTTAAGTTCCAGTTGTCGGGCATGCGTTCATCTGACCATATTCTGCATAAGAGTTGATGCATGCACCTTATCAACTGCTCACCACCGCACTTGAATAGCTCAGCTGGCAGGCTGTCATCTCCAGCAGCTTAGTTGTTTTTCAGCCGCGTTATTGCTATTCGCACCTCGTCATAGTCAGGTGGTGGAACATCGACTCCTTCGTCATCGGCTGGGGCTCGGGTTTTTCTTCTCCACAACTTTCCGCGCTGCTACTATTCAGTAGGTTGGAAAAGTGTTCCCTTCATAATTTAAGTACGTTCTGAACATCGGTAACTAGGTCTCAATGGTTGTTCTTACAGGAGTATGCCCTGGTCTTGAAACCTTCCGTGTGTCGCCTAATTCTCTGGTAAAATTTTCGTGCATTCTTCCTGTCGGCCAGCATTTCAGGCTCTTCGCAGCAAATACGTCTCGCTTCCCTCTTCAGTTCCCTATAGCGGTCCCACATGGCGCGCGTTGGCACTGTAGGCGGCACCTTTTTTCTGCAGCTTCACGACACTTTGATATATTAACTATTGCAATAGGTGAAGTAATAAGGAAGTTATTAGTCAAACTAAAAACTTCACGTTCACACTCGCATTGAACTGTATACCAAGCTTAAGATCGGTGTTACGCAAAAATTTTATTTTGGAAGCTGCGTGAAATTGTTATTGAAGTAACCCCGGAGAGAGCGAGTTTGGCTAGTGTCACGGTTTAGAGAAAATTTACTTTGAAATTTAAGTTCGGATTTGAGACGTTATTAGCTTTTATTACCCATATTTTTAAAATAAATAGCGTAAATCTTTATCAGGAAATTAGCAAATGCCTGGCTTGATTCGCGACACCTGATAAGAACTTTTGCCTTGACCAATACAAAAATAGTGTTGAAATGTAAAAATTATTAGTTTAGGTTGAAGGGACTAAAGAACAAAACCTTTCTTACTCATAGGTCAAGAATAATAGCGCCGAGATAACACATGGTATATGTACATTAGGGTGGTCCAAAACAAGTAAGTCAGAATTTTAATGCTCTCAGCCCCTAGGATTATTCTATAACAAAAAAAATATACCCCTTTTTTTATTTTGAAATTAAAAAATATTTCGAGGTCGCTCAAAGCGCTAAAAATTTTCCATGTATTTTATATGTGGAAAAAATAACTTTTTGTAGAAATGGTATCTAATACTAAATCTACCTTTTTCGATCAGAAAACTGTTGTTCTCTTCAGGAGACTCCCAATAACAATGCCCAATTGTTTATTAAACCATTGTTTAATACCAAATTTCCCCATTGCATTTTCTGACCTTTTCTGGGGGGTTTGGCGGACCCATAAAATATAGTTACTATAAAAAAATGGTTAGATAAATAATTGGGTAATACTTTGGGAATCTTCCGAAGAGGAACAGAGTTTTGCCGATCGAAAAATATAGATTTTCAAGAATTCCATACCATTTCTACGAAAAGTGATCTTTTCCCCATATAAAATACATGGAAAACTTTGAGCGCTTTGAGCGACCTCTAAATATATTTTGATTTCAAAATAAAAAATAGGGGTATATTTTTTTCGGTATAGAACAATCCTACGGGGTGAGAGCATAAAAATTCCCACTTTACTTTTCCACATGTATTTTTAGAACACCCTAATGTACATACATACTAATCGCCTTTGATGCTTTGAGCTCTTATTTTCAGCTGTGAGCAAGTATTTTAAGGTTTGCCGCGTTTGTTTGTGCGTTCTATAATCCTGCTGTTCCACAGCCTTGATATTCCTATCGTGTTCTTTCTAATTCATCACACTTCTTCTTGATATACCGATGACCCTTTGATGTGCCTAGGATATCTGTGGCGCTTAAACAATTTTGCGCTTCTTTGATGGCATACTTAAAGGATAGGGCTTTATTAAGTCGTCTAAAAAGTAAATTTGTAGAGGGGTATCCAAATATCTTGAGTCCTGCGTCGTCTATGTTTTGGGTCCATTTTTTGCAGAAGCACTTTTTATCATAGTTAATATTCGTTAATCCGCTCGTACGATAAAGACGGATTCTTTAAATATCTACACTCCAGTGCCATCTGTCGGCACCATTTTTTGCAAAAGTATATCTGATAGTGTCCGACCGAAGCATCGGCCTGGCTTCGGTATTCGGCCTATTCGGCTGGCTTTTATCTTCGCCTTCGGCTTTCGGCTGAAAATGCCGAACAATTTGGCAATTAATTAATTTTACGACAGTTGTTGAAATTTTATTGTTGTTTCACATCTTTACCCCGTAGAAAATCTGACTAGCTCAGAACTACTACACCGACAGTACTACCTCCAGGTCGATACCCAAGCAATGATTCCAACTGTCCAGTTTTGTACGGCGATGTCATTGGCAATTGTCGCCCAGTGCATTACTTTGCAACTAGATTTTAACCGGTTCCTCCGTGGTAGACAGTTTTTTTTATAAGAAATTTTACATTATTATTTTGATGTTACGTCTAATGAAATTCAAGTGTGGGACCACCTACAAAAGAACATGTAAACAAATAAGCAAATACATATGTAATGTTAAATAAAATAAATTTAAAAAATATAAAAATATCGGGGAATGGACAATTTTTTGGGTGAATCGGGGTAATGAACTGGTTTTTTGTAAGGAATTAGGTGTGACTAATTTTTTTTATATTTTGCTTAAATAATTTCATAATGAGTTAAAAAAAAATGCATAAGAAATACAACTGCAACTAAAAGTACTGATTTTGCAACCCTGCCGTTTAATTTTTTTTAATTTTCTTTGTCGCATTTGCTTTCCTATATAGTGAATACAGTGAAAGCTCCGATAAGCGGACACCGATGGTCACCTACTTTTTGCCCGCCTATGGGAGATGTCCGGTTATGGGAATTTCGTAAAAAATAATCGTAAAGTTCAAATTTAAAAAATGTATGTTGCGGGGACTTAAATGAAATAATACTTATCTTTGAATCGATAAAAACAGAATGAATGGTAATTACATTGAAATTTATGGCGTTCTATTTTCTACCGATTAATCTCATTGCCCACCTCGCTCAAGCAGTAAGAAGAGGGCAATGAAAAGGCAAAATTTTTTTTAGAAAAGAGAACATCTTTGGATTTGGACGTAAGTTTGTATGTTCTTGTGTGCAAGAGTAAGAGTAAAAAACAAACATTCACTGCTTATTAGAGCTTTGCGCCCGCTTATGGGAGATTTTTTTTTTCATAACTAGACAAGTTTGAGTGTCCGCGTCCGGTTATCGGAAAGTCCGTGTATGGGAGAGCATTTTGTACGGAAAAAAACCAAAAATTGTGCGTTCCCAAGAATGTGTCCGCTTATAGGAGATGTCCGATTATTAGAGCGTCCGCCTATCAGAGCTTTCACTGTAAAACTATTTCTTTTTATATGGAACAAAACCACAACCAACTCCAAACAAAATTATAAAAGGAACATTTTTAGCCACTTGCCGCATTATTATACTAGAACTGAGTGTGCTACAATACTGCATACCCAAAACTTTCTAGGGAATCGAATTAAAAAAGCTCGAAATTTATACGAGAGCTTGTTGATTTTTTTTTTAATGTTGCATAAAGTTTGAAATTTGAATTAAGTATATTTTTTTTTAAATAACTCCAATTTGAAAACAAAAAAATAATAATTTTGAAAATTTGTCAAAATTTGCTGCGACTAAAATTTTTTCGACTCTGTATGTGTGTAAGTATTATATGTATGTACATTTTTTGTTCTTTATTTGTTACCTGACTTTACAAAAGTTTGGTTTGACTTATGAGTACATAGATAAATTACATTTTGAAATAAAATAAACAGAAAGACCAGCAATATATCAAAACACAAATTTTTTTTACAAAATTTCGGGCGAAATCGGGTAATTTCCTAGTTGAGATCAGGGAATTCTCAAAAATGAGCTGGCTACCCTGGTTGACTCTCTGTTTGTTTTCACCACACATTTTTGG